CAAAATAGTTTCTCATTAAACAGTTAGTACACATGTTGCCCTACATCAACACTATCCTTACTCAACCTTGGGTTCCCTATCACCAGCTTTCCTGTCCCCTTGCGCCTTCTAGTCCTTGTCCCTGGACTGCTGTGCCTCATTAGTCCCGTTTTGTTTTATGGGGCTGTCCAATCCCCAGCTGAACGGTGAACCTCGGAAGTGACTTCACCACTGAGCTAAAAGGGTGTCTGGGGGCCATACTCTTGGGGTTTCTCCAGTCTCTTTTAGGCCAGTAAATTTTGTTCTACATCCTTCTCTAGCTCTGTCCAGAACCCTCTGTTGTGACCCCGGTCAGAGCAGTCAGTGGTGGTAGCCGGGCACCCTCTAAGTACTGGACTCTGTCTGGTGGAGGCTTTGGTAGCTGTTGTCCATTAGTCCTTTGGACTAATCTTTTCACAAGTAGATGAATTTTTGAAAATTCAACTTGTTTAAATAGAAAACTAATTTTGTAATATTGATGGGGAAGTATATATCTCTACTGACTTTCCCTCCTCCCCCATTTTTTTCTTAAATCCTATTTTTATCTACCTATTGTGTTTATAGAGAATGAAAGTTGTCCAGATGAATTATTTAAAATAAATATCATGAGTTCATACTGATGTAAATAGATAAATGAATAAATAAACAAATAGGAGGAGAAATCACAACTGTTCTTTCTAGAAGACTTCAAATTTTAAGTGTAGATAGAATGAGGGAGATAAAACATTACCATTAGAACATCATGGTAAAAATTACCATAGGCAAGATTTACCAATGGATGCTAAAATTAGTGCACAAATGTTTAAGCAGAAACAGAATGTATAGTCTAAAAATATTTTTCTTAACATATTTAGTAACTCCTAAGAGAAAAATAATGTTTATTAGAGAGAATCTTGGCAGGCACGACATTAGTCAAGTGATCAAGGTTAACATCACCAGATATACATACTTCCTGATCGGATATGTTGGGAAAGGCACATCACCTCTGTGGTATACTTCCCAATAATGTATAACCTCAATTTAGTCATGAAAAAAATCATACAAACCCAAACTGAGGGGGGAATTCTATAGTTTAACTGATTAATACTCTTCAGAAATAGCAGAGTCATGAAAGACAGGAAAGACTGAGGGAGTGTCACGGATTAGAGACTAAGGAGACATGAGAACTAAACGCAGTATGGAATCCTGGAGTAGATCCTGAACCAAAAAAGAAAATGGATGTTAGTGGGAAAACTGGTGAAACTCGAATAAATTCTGTACATTATAGTTAATGGTATTGTACCAAGTTTAATTTCTTAGTTTTGATAAATGTTCTTTGGTTATGTAAGACATTAACATAAGAAGAAGCTGGGTAGAAGGATAGACAGAAGTCTTTACTATTTATACAACTTTTCTGTAAATCTAAAATTATCTCAAAATTTTAGAAAGTTGATTGTTTCCTATTGTTGGTTTAAGAGATTATCCAAGTCTTAAGATTTTTCTCCTTAATTCCAACACAAATATTTATATTAGTGATTCTCAAAGTGTGGTCCCCAGACTAGCAGCATTAACATCAATTGCCAATTTGTTAAAAATGCAAATTCTCAGAACCCCCGCAAATGATTCTGATTCGCACTAAAGTTTGAGAACCATGCTTTATATTCAGTAAAAGCTTAAGATTAAAAGGAAACATTTTATTTTTATTAATGTATTGGCCAGTTATTAATAATGAGTTTGCTTACCATAAAGTATAACCAGTGCATTTTAATCCATTTTCTGTGCTTTGTTCTATTTTAATTCATCTTCTAAACAGACTACCAGATGTACTTAAGGAGTGATTGTTAAGATCTGGATAAATGTTGATTTATCTTCTTTTTATGTCCTGCCCTCAGTTTTGGTTTATTCTTTTTTCTTCTTAAAGCAAAAATGAATGCTTCATATACTTATCCTTGCATTGCAGTATTCCTTCAAAGACTTCATGATTAGATTAGTTTTTGGGTTTTTTCTTCTGGGTAATTGGAAAAATTTTATCCATTGTTCTGAATAAGAAGCATGTCTTCTTGCTACTTTTAGGTCTTGATTTTTTTTTTTTTAAGGTTTAAGAGGGAAAAAGCAAAAATAGATCTTTTCTCAGGATAGTAATGGCTCTATTTTAAACAGAACTAAGTTCTTAAATTTTGCATTAAAAAAAAAAAAAAGCTACATCGCCAGTACCCCCCACTGCTTTTCTCATGCTTGTTCATGGTCATATCAGTGACTCTTGTGGATTCTCACTTTCTTTGCCTCCTCTTCCCTACCTTGTCCTTCAGCCCTCATAAATCTGAAATTTACAGATATGGTTTATTTGTGTGTTGATTTTGAGAAATAAGACAATTTGAAAACTGAGTCGGAATCAACTTGACAGCAGCGGGGTTGGTTTTTGGTTTATGTAGCAGTATTTCAATATTCAAACCTGTTTCCAAAAAATTCTCTTTACAGACTTACAACAGCTGTGCCAGACTCTGCTTAAACCAGGAAACAGTATGCCTAGCAAGTACTGCTATGAAGACTGAAAATTGTGTGGCCAAAGTAAGTGATATTACTCATCAATGTATATTGTACCACATGACAACAATGCTTTATCTGTAGGCACCTTTACTCAGTATCGCTATTACGAGTATTATAGGATTATATATTTAAGAACAGAATATAAGCAGGAATCATTTTATCCAAAGAAGGTTGCTAGTTGATTTCTCCATCTCTTCAATTGCAGCAGAATCTTTTGATTATGTATTCTGGTCACACTTTAGACAAATTCACATTTGTTACTTAGCACTAGTTATGGATTGTCACAAATCAGTAAGATTCGTGTAAGATAATATACAATTGTTTTTATAAGTTCATGATTTTTAAATGCAATTAAGTATAGAGTATACCGTTACAGGGATTGTGAAATATGCTATAGAAAATCCAGTTACTATATCATTATTATTATGGGTATTGAGTGGCTTTTGATAGAAATATTGCTTTTGTTAATCTTTATCTGAGTGAACAAGTGTGTTTAGTCATACATATCAGCTACGTCTTTCTTATATATAATTATGTGCCGTTCTATAGCCTAGATACAAAGATGATCTAAAATATTAAGAGATCTGAGGCTTTTCGTATCAACTGTGACTGAAATTTGCCTAATATCTCTCAATACTCAGAAACTTTGACCTAAATTTAAATGCCAGCCATTTGATTAGTCCATGAGTAAATAACATTCCAATATGGGCTTTGTTTGTAGATTTTTACTTTGCATATCTATAAGATTATTGCCTTTGTAACCATTCAGAGATTTGTCACTGTTACAACATTCTCAGCTTTTAACTACTTTGATCTATTCTATTATATACCCAGGCCCTCAGTTACTACTGTTATTATTAGAGACAGGACTGGTATCATGTTTGTTGTCTTCATCTTCTGGTACAAAAATCCAAGGATAGGGATTTTTTTTTTTTTTAAATGATTAAGGGGTTCTTTTTTTTTTTTTAATTGTGTTTTAGGTGGAAGTTTACAGTGCAAATTAGTTTTTCCTTTAAACATTTATACACAGATTGTTTTGTGACATTGGTTGCAGTCCCTGCAGTGTGTCGGCACTTTCCCCCTTTCCCTTTCCACTCTGGGTTCTCTGTGTCCAGTTGTCCAGTTTTCCTGTCCCTTCCTGCTGTCTTTTCTTTGCTTTTGGGCAGGTGTTACCCATTTGATCTCGATACTTGATTAAACTAAGAGGCATGTTCCTCACGTGTGTCATTTGTTTTATAGGCCTGTCTAATCTTCGGCTGAAAGGTACTGGGAGTGGCTTCAGTTCTGAGTTTGCAAGGTGTCTGGAAGCCATAGTCTTGGGGGTTCCTCCAGTCTCTGTCAGACCAGTAAGTCTGGTCTTTTTTTGTGAATTTGCGTTTTATTCCACATTTTTCTCCTGCTCTGTCTGGGACCCTCTATTGTGATCCCTGTCAGAGCTGTCGGTGGTGGTAGCTGGTCGCCATCTAGTTCTCCTGGGCTTAGGCTGGTGGACGCTGTGGTTCCTGTAGTCCATTAGTCCTTTGCACTAGTATTTTCGTTATGTCTTTGATTTTCTTCATTCTCCTTTGCTCCAAACGTGATGGGAACAATGGATGTATCTTAGATGGCCACTTGCAGGCTTTTAAGACCCCACACGCTACTCACCCAAGTGGGACGTAGAACATTTTCTTTCAGAACTATGTTATGTCAGTTGACCTAGATGTCCCCCAAGACCATGGTTCCCTGCTCTCTGCCCCAGTAACTCAGTCCCTCAAGGTGTTTGGATATGTCTAGGAAGCTTCTACAGCTTTGCCTTGGTCAAGTTGTGCTGACTTCTCCTGTATTGTGTATTGTTTTTCCCTTTACCAAAATTAACACTTGTCTACTAGCTAGTGATTTCCACTCCCTGTTCCCCCCTTCCCTTATAACCATCAAAGTTTTTTTTTTCTGTGTGTAAACCTTTTCTTGGGTTTTTATAATACCTGTCTCATACAGTAATTGTCCTTATTGATTGACTTATTTCACTCAGCATAATGCCTTCCAGATTCATCCATGTTATGAGACGTTTCATGGATTCATCATTGTTTTTAATGGTTATATAGTATTCCATTGTGTGTATGTACCACAGTTTGTTTATCCATTCATCTGTTGATGGGCACTTAGGTTGTTTCCATCTTTTTGCTATTGTGAATAATGCTGCAGTGAACATGGGTGTGCATATGTCTGTTAGTGTGACAACTCATTTTCTAGGATATATTCCTAGGAGTGGAATTGCTGGATCGTGTGGTATTTCTATTTCTAGCTTTTTAAGGCGGCGCCTTACCGTTTTCCATAGTGGTTGTACCATTTTACATTCCTGTCAGCAGTGCATAAGAGCAGAATATTCCTCGACCTCTCCAACATTTGTTATTTTCTGTTTTTTTAATTCATGCCAGTAATGTCAGGGTGAGATAGTATCTCATTGTAGTTTCGCTATGTATTTCTGTAATGACTAATGACGGCGAGCATTTTCTCATGTGTCTGTTAGCTGCCTGAATGTCTTCTTTGGTGAAGTGTCTGTTCATATCCTTTGCCTGTTTTTAAGTTGGATTATTTGTTATTTTGTTATGGCGGTGTTGAAGAAGTCTATAGATTTTAGAGATTAGACCCTTGTCCAATATGTCATAGCAAAAATTTTTTTCCTTGTCTGTAGATTCTCTTTTTACTCTTGGTGAAATCATTTGATAAGCATAAACGTTTAATTTTTAGGAGCTCCCAGTTATCTAGTTTATCTTCTTGTGTTTGTGCATTGTTAGTTATGGTTTGTATTGTATTTATGCCATGTATTAGGGCCCTAGTATTGTCCCTGTTTTTTCTTCCATGATCTTTGCCACATTTTGAGTTAGTTTTTGCATATGGTGTGAGGTATGGGTCCTGTTTCATTTTTTTACAGATGGACATCCAGTTTTACCAGCACTATTTGTTAAAAAGACTGTCTTTTCCCCATTTAGTGTACTTTGGTCCTTTGTCAAACATCAACTGACCATAGGTGGATGGATTTACATCTCGGTTCCCAGTTCTGTTCCACTGGTCTATATGTCTGTTGTTATACCAGTACCAGGCTGTTTTGACTACTGTGGCTGTATAGAAGTTTCTGAGATCAGGTAGTATGAGACCTCCTACTTTGTTCTTTTTCTTCAGTAATGCATTGCTTATCCAGGACCTCTTTCCTTTCCATATAAAGTTGGTGATGAGTTTTTCCATCTCGTTAAAGAATGCTGTTGGTATTTGGATCGGGATTGCATTATATCTGTAGATCACTTTGGGTGGAATTGGCATTTTCACAATGTTGAGTCTTCCTATCTATGAACATAGTATGTTTTTCCATTTACATAGGTCTCTTTTGATTTCTTGGAATAGTGTTTTGTAGTTTTCTTTGTATAGGTCTTTCATGTACCTGGTTAGACTTACTCCTAAGTATTTTATCTTTTTAGGGGTTATTGTAAATGGTATTATTTCCCTGATTTCCTTTTCAAAGTCCTCTTTGTTGGTGTAAAGGAATCCAACTGATTTTTGTGTGTTGATCATGTATCCTGCTACTCTGCTGAATCTTTTTATTAGTTCCAGTAGTTTTCTTTTGGAATCTTTGGCATTCTCTATGTATGGGATCATATCATCTACAAATAGGGTTAGTTTTACTTCTTCCTTTCCAATTTTGATACTGTTTCTTTTTCTTGCCTTATTGCTCTAGCTAGGACTTCAGCACAGTGTTAAATAAGAGTGATGGTAAAGGGCATCCTTGTCTTGTTCCCATTCTCAGGAGGAATGCTTTCATCTCCTCTCTGTTGAGAATGATGTTGGCTGTTGGTTTTGTATAGATGCCTTTCATTATAATGAGGAATTTCCCTTCTATTCCTATTTCATTGAAGGGTAGGGATATTTTTTATTTTTTGTTTTATTTCATAAAACATGCAGCAGTCTTTGAGCCTAGCTTATCAACTGAAAATATATCATACAGAATATAACCATTGGTATGATCCATATAAGAAATGTCAGAACTTATTAAAAATTATAGTTAAAGAAGATAGTGTTCACAGGGATGCAAGATGTTAACAATAGGAAAAACAGGGTCTAGAGGGGAGGAGGCCATATGGACCTCTGTACTTTCTGTGCCATTTTCTGGGAACCTAAAAACTGCTCTAAAAAATAAGTCTATTTAAAAACAAAAAAGAGCTTGTCGGTACCTGTCTCTTAAATTAGAATGTCTTAATAATTTGCTGTAAAACATGAGTACTGTAAATTACATATATTTATTTTTTCAGTCACTTAGTCATAACTCTCAAGTGTTAATTGACCCTGTTTTATATCTAGCATTTGTGCATGGAGTGGGGGTGGGGGATCATTTATTTGGGCCTTTAAAAATAGTATTTCTCCCTTTTGGCCATGGTACTCTCAGTTTCAACACAAGTCGGTGACTTCTGCCTAAACAAGGTAAAATCTTAGCCTGATCACCGATCCAAGGACAGGGTGACAATTTTAATGAGTTTCATTGAGAGCTGGCCAAGTGAGCATCTGTTCCTTTTGTTTTCTCCATACTTTGTAAGCCAGGATCTCTAAGCTGCATAGTTATGTTGGTGTGTGTCTGTATGATGTGTTTTTTCCCTCCTCCCACCTTGTACTTCAGTGGTGCATGGTTAGAAATCTTCTGGCATCTGGCACAATGGCATAATTTCTTTTATGCTCTTGGGTGAGGAGATAAGTTTGCTCATTGCTGCTCATCAGTCTGTTTCACGTGCTCCCAGATGGTGACCCTGTCATCCCATTCTTGCTTATTTTAACATTTTTGTGACACCTATATCCTTTCTTCATTCCCTTAAATACTCTAATTTAATAATGACTTCTATCATTTCCTATTGGAACTCACCTAACTTGCTGATTTCCTTTACTGGCCTGCATCCTGTCTTCTGGTTCACTGCTTCAGATTTGAGCCAATAACCAGTTGAGCAGTGGCAAACAAAAACATGTAGCTAGAAAAATTTCTTCCTTGCAGCAACCACCAGTGA